CAATATCCATCAATTTTTGCCGAGTGGACAAAGACGGCGGCCTAGCATTGTCCTGGTGGAAAATGGCACCTTTACGATTGACCAATTCTGGTCGCTTTTCCTTGACCGCTGCATTCAATTTGTCCAGTTTCTAACATTCACGGATAATAAAAAATAACATAATAATAATAATAATAATTTTATAATATAATATTTACGGATATCATAAAAATGGGAGTGAGAGACATCTATAACTGAAATCGGCAATTACTTAGTTGCCAACCCAATAGTATTGGGTCTCAGATGACGGGGGAAATCCCGAGCGTCTCTGGGGTAGTACTCCATCATCCACGCCAGTCAAAATCCTTTTCTGACGGGATGACACGACGCAGGGTGGAATGGATCTTAGATGGAAGTCACTTTCCTTAATTCGATAACAGGAGATCGGGTTTTATGGGTTCTGATTGCCTCCGAGCTGTCGGACCTGTGGGTGGTAGCCACCCCTTACCTGGACGGGATTTCACCCCCTTTTCAACCCCGTCACTGCGTACGGGATTTTTTGTCTAGTCGCAAGTCGAGAGAGGTTCCAAGAACCGAGCAATCCGGGTGCCTCTTGGCGGCTCATGGTCCGGTACAGGATATCATTGGAAGCTCGACCGCACTCGGCGCGGAATTTGAAATAAGAAATCGATTGCTAATTTATGCAAAATTTCCTCGTGCTCTTGAGACCCATGAGTGCGCGTGTGGCTTCAAAGAGGATCGACCGGTCCACTGAAATGGCGTTTCCTATCGCAGCTCTATGTAGAGAAGTGACGTCGCGATTTTGTGTAGAAGGTGATCCATAATATGTGGGTTCCACTTTGGCAACTGAATGAATGTCTAAAAGTAATGAAAAAAAATATATGTATATAAATACATGTCGTTTATAATAGATATAAGGAATTCTTTTCTAGATATAAAGAATTGTTTTTTTTAGATATAAGGAATTTTCTGTTTTAATTATCTTTACAGAAGATGTTCAAAATTGAGAAAGCCTTGGATTTGAAGACAAGCCTGCACATATCTTGCCTTCCATCAGATTACTCTCTCTCTTTCTTTCTCTCTCTCTCTCTCTCTCTCTCATTCCTAATATTCCTCGGATTTGTAGGAAGTCTTGTTCTAATATATTTCGTAGTATTACAGCATTTTCAATAGAAAATATTTTATTTTTTTATTTCCAGAAACTGCTCTGTTCATAAAATTCATTATATCTCATAAACGAAGACAGATTGGACATTTAATTTATATAACTTTTTTCATTGTTTTTAGACGTACAGTCAGCTCCCGAAGTGGGGTCCCACATGTTACGGAATACTCTGCACAACGTTCTTAATTGAAAAATCGGTTCCAATATTTTGTGAATATTTTGTTTGTTTATTTTCGAACAAGAGATAATCTGTCATTTTAATTATATTTGAATAAGTGATATTTTTTAATTTTCTTCACTTCGAATAAAACATTTAATATATGTTATTCAATAAATAGAAAGTTAATCATGCCCGAACAAAAACCAAAGACACAGCAATTGTTCACCCTCTCACCCTCCCCCGGATCTCCTATCCTTCGTACAAATGAACTAAATCTGTTAATATTCTATAATAATAATAATAATAATAATAATATAATAATATAATAATAATAATAATAATAATAATAATAATAATAATAATAATAATAATAATAATAATAATAATAATAATAATAATGATAATAATAATATAATATTCTACAAATTATTTTTCATAATATTATATAACGATATTATTTTGAAATTCTATCAATCGTTTCTTTCTAAATAAAATAGATGTCCCCTTTCAGGACCAGTTCGCGTAGAAATAGGCGCACAAGAAACGTCCGCAAAACCTGGTGTTACCCTCATCGAACGATGTGCCAGCAGTTTGGTAAACCGTGACATCGTTTGGCAGTCGCTAGCCGAGCCCCATCGCAGCCCGGTGCCCTTAATAGGATTATTTCAACAGGCCGTTCGACAAACGCGCGGAGTTAACGCCTGAGAGTGGACAAGATTCCACTCACGCCTCTCTCCCTCTTCGCTCGCAGAAGAACTGTGTCAGTGTTGCGTGCCTCGTTTCGCAAAGGAACGTCGCGAATCTCATGCATTACGCATCGGCACCGGACTAATCCCGACCGTTCTTGATTGCAAGGTTTCGCGACGCCCAGGCAGCGGAGGAATTCTTCTTCGTCAGCGTGTCCACGATGCCCCTCGTAGGCAGCCGCCGGGGCCCCGATCTGGCCCCTCCGCGTATGGACGAGAGCCCCGAGACCGAGAGACGCGGCACGCGTCGGTATTCCGAATCGCGTCCCTGCGTTTTCCGGTTTGCGCCTCCGCCGATTCCGTTACTTGCGTTATGCGATTGTGCCGATGGCTCGAATTCAGAGCCGCGCTAATGACTGGCTCGCGTGTAGGCGGCGGTAATTGTCCCGGCGAAAACGGATGCCCGGCACGTCGACTTTGACGGCTCTTGCTGGACGATGATTTTTATTCGTGCGATTTTTACTCCTGGGATTAGCCCCTTAACGTGCACGCTCGAGTTAACTCGAGCGCGCTAAACTGGCCAAACTGTGCACACTCGAGATAATGCGAGCGGCGTTGTACTTTATGTTGCTATAATTTTTCACACTCGAATGCAATCGAGAATCGAAAATAACAATGTGAAAGCAAACAAAAAACAATCGTTTTATTGATATTTATCATTTACATGGGATTGTAAGCTATAACACTTACTTATTCAAGTATAAAATATATCCTTTTTCTATACTTATATCACTTACGACTTATCTTCTTCCTTGTGAGCCGCTTTCCGACAGCGTATTCATATTCAGATTCTGATTCGCTCATTTTTCAATATATATTTTACTAAAATATATTGTAAAATAAAATATAATAATAATAATAACAATAATAATAATAATAGTAATATTCTGAAAATTACTAGTATTGTTATTATTTATGTTTTAAAAGTATAAATAAATATTTTTACTGATAATAATGTTCATTCTGAAATGGGAATTCGAAAAGAAAGATTAAAAAGGTCGATGTGTGTGTGTGTGTGTGTGTGTGTGTGTGTGTGTGTGTGTGTGTGCGTGTAATATTACAATATTCGACTATTTTCTGCAATGTTATCAAAATCCAGAATTGCAATAAAAGTTTTGATTATTTTTGTATTTTTGTAATTTTCTTGCCAAGACAACGTTCTAAATTGTGTTTTTTTACATTAACAAAAATTGATCTTTTTTGGCCGGCCTTTTTCAAAAAAACTGTGCATTAAGGGATTAATTCAAGAACAATATTCGGGGTGAGCGGAACACAAAACGCAGAATTTAAGGGGATATTTTTGTCTGAGGGGGATATTCTTTTATTGTACTCTCTTAAAGTACATCTTAAGGTACAGAATTGGGGTAATATGTGCGAAAATAGGGGCCTGGACTAATCGCAAGTATAAATATTTCCACGTAGCCGATAATTAAAACATTAAACGCGCTTTTCTCGAAGGATCGCTCTTTGAACTGGTGTGCACGATATCTTACTTATATTATATTACTATTATAATATATTATATTACTATTATATATATTATATTTTCTACTATTATATATATTACTATATTATATTACTATACTTCATCGATTTAAACGAATTTGCACATTGTTTTGCACATCGAATTCGCGCAGAAATGTCCCGGCGCGAGTCACCGTAGGATTCGCTTACGCATTTTCCGCGGAATCGTAGAACGGTTCGCGAGTCTATCAATTCCGAGTTGGCAGTTCTCGGTTCGTGCATCGAGATTGGATCGATTCTCAAGAACGAGAAAGTAATGGCCCATCAAAATTCACGAGCCACACTGCACGGCGAGATAGGCTGCGTGGTAAGTGGCTAATCGTGATCATGAATAAACATTCCCGCGGAAATTGTGACATCTCCGTGACGATTCCCGCGGTTAGCTCATCGCGTACCGCTCCTCTCCTCTCGTCCCGTCTCACAATGGCCCCCCCCCTTGTAAAATGCATCGGGCCGAGCTAATTAATTCCGTGTTCGGTGTCAATAATTAACCCATGAACCCAGACCAACGGCAGCGAGAAACAATTACCCTTTCGTGTTCCGGGGCGACCAGGAACGGGTCAGTATGATTTCAACCATGTACCGCTAGGCGCTACGAGTATCTTGTTACGATCTAAGCGCTGAAAAATTTCATAGTTTAGTACTCTTTGTTCGAGAGGCGTGAAAGTGAATGTTTCGATTATGGAAAGATATGCAAAGGAGATGGTGTTATTTAAATGCAGCGAAGATTGTTTAACGAATTTTTCGAGTTTTATATTTATTACTTTCCGGTTTTGGTGTTCAGGTTTTTTTAAACATTTGTATTTAAGAATTGTCCCGAGTATGACGAACGTGTTACTTCGAACGAAAGTGTAAAAGTGTAAAGGGTCGTTCAAACAGTTTACAGTTATTCTGATGTATTATACTTCGAGTTACAGTATATTACAAGCATTTTTTTTAAGTTGACGGCGCTAATTAGTAGGTTTTCCGGTAAAAATTAACTTGTATGATGTTATTAGTGCTTGGTTAAATTTACTTGAACATTTCGCGTAATTCCGTAAATTCTGTATATTTGTAACGTAGCACTTATTTTCTTCTTCATTTTCTCCCTGCAATCACCAGGAATGTTTTTTAATTGAGCTATTTATTTACATTGCATACATATACATAGAATGTTCCATCTAACTTGACCATCATGAATATTTTGTTTACTTTTTATGATTAAAAATATCACAAGGAAGCATTATCTTGTTCGAGAGAGAGAGAGAGAGAGAGAGAGAGAGAGAGAGAGAGAGAGGAGGAAGTACAATGATGAGATAGATATTTTTGTTGAGGTCACACATTCCTTGAGATTTTAAGGTCATCGAAGATTTTTTAAATGATACATATTTTCAGCGAAATAATTTTTTTAACGGACATTTTTCCCTATCATAAAAAATAAGTGAAATATTCAAGATAGTCAAGTGGGATACTCTGTATATTCTTGTCGAATGATTTAATGGTAAACTCATTGCTTCCAATTTCTGAATCGTAGCTATCAAGGTGTTTAACACTAGATTTACAAGTCCTGTCAAAATGACGGGTAACTAATTTTTTAATTTACGATTATTCATATCGTAAAGATACATTTATGAATTACTTATTCAATTTATATGTTACTTACGGAAAAATGTAACAATAACACTTGTTAAAAATCAGAATAAGAACAGCTGTTTTTTGTACTCCGTAAATCTAGTATTAAATAAGGCTTTAATAACATTGAATTTTGAATTTTAGAAATATTGAAACGAGCTCTCACAGAATTCACCTTATCGCTTCAATAATAAAACTGAACTGTACGAATTCAATATACAGATTATTAGCTACACATAATATTCAGTTATTAACTCGCCACCAACACTATTCGGTTATGATACAAGAGAGAGTGCTGACGAATAGATTAAATTAATTTATAAAGATAGATGGTTCAGATAGGCACGATATATGCATGTGCACGTCAAATAACATATGCAAAATATTATTATAAGTGTTACGTTATCAATACTAATCGATCTCTCCTGACAGACAAACTATTTCAGATTTATATAACATTATAACATTATTTATATAACATTACCATTATTGTAATAAATTAATCCGTACGGTAATTAAAAGATTGAATTGAAGTTGTGTGTTTACTGTTTGCATTCAGTTCTAAAGTATCATTAACTACGAGTTACGTTGCCGGTTCATTAACGTGTTAAGAAACTTATTTTCTCAATTACCATGAATTTCTGAGCTCGAGCTCGTCCAAACGCCATTGTATAGTGCTGAATACGTTTTCTCATCAGCTATAACAGTATGAAGTTAATATTGTAATATATAGTGCTATGTAAAAAAATCAAAAGGAGACTTTACTTTTTTATTAAAGCAAAGAAGATTTTCGGAATCGTTATCACCGCACTTTATTCTCATCAAAGTGAATAACTTTGACCGAATAACTTTCATACTTTTTGACTGAATAACTGAATAACATTTATTCGAACATTTTTTTTGCCAGATTGACCTAAATGCCTCGGAAATCGTTGCGACCGTTAGGATGAACACCCTATATAATCCTTTGAAACAGTTATTTTCGGAACCGTTTCAACAGCTGGGGAAAAGGCATTGTGCGGCATGCCGTGAAAATGGTCCCGGCGATTGCAAAGAAAAGAGTCTCGTGAATCCTTGTCCTTTATATCCCCTGGTGAAATTCAACGGGGGAAAAAGAGAGATACGGCGGAGACGTGGAAGGTGCAGTCACAGTGAAACGACCGGTAGGTAGGCTGTAAAAGGTAAACCCGTCGTACCGGCAGCGTTCGTGGTCCGCGGGCATTCCAGGCGACGCCAACGTGCTCTCCTCCTCCGCCTCCTCCAACTTCTCTTTCTTCTCCTTCTTCTTTTCCTCTGGCCCGGCCACCTTCTTCCAGCCCCTCCACCGCCACCCCTAGAAGTCTCTCCCATCGCCGCCTCGCAATAATGCAACTGCATGCAGTTGCGTTACCGACCAACTATAGGTAGACTACCGTGTCGGAGGAGAGAGTGATACTGTTCCTGCAGTTACGTAAAAGTCGATAGAAATTTCGATTTTTGTGTCTCCCACCACCACCTTCGCCAACCCCAGTCCTCCTTCGTAGAGTGCGGTTTCCTCCATGACGAGCTGTCCGATCGCTTCTTCGATCCCATTTCTCTAAGCAGATTAAGGTAAAAGTACCTATTATGAAACACTTCCCAAGGGGTTATAAGATTATCAGCCGATTTTATTGCAGCTTAAAAGCGTTATCGTTGTATGTTTACAGTGCTGTTCGACAGACTGATGCTACCAGATAATCTAACGAACTTTTTAAATAATTATTTCATATGACGAACGTATTTATTTAATATTATGGAACAACGTTTCTGTAACATGTTCCCGTGTATCATGTTCAATGTCCCTAATGTGGTACGTCCGTGTGGCATGTCCGTTTCAAAATGGGGACATTGAATAGAGATGCCAAAAATTCCAGAAATCGGGACAATGGAACAATTGAAGTACACAATATGGAACGGTACGTTCTTATTTAGAAACACCCGTATTCGAATAAACATTTTTTTATTACAGCTGATTGTTACATAGCAGTATTTGTATGAGTGAATTTATAAAGAACAATGTTGTAAAACATGGGCAGAATTTTTACATCCACTTTCGTATGCTCCATCTATATGTTATTGTATTATTTGTGTCAATGTTTCAAGCAGGGGTCACAATTGAGCGGTGTCTCATAATAGGTACATACCTTGCCTTATCCTAAACGCAGTGTTAATTTCGCGTTGCATTAAAATTCACAGATTCTATGCTTGGCTTTTTAAACACGGTTCGTGTCGGAGAAAGATCATTATTTTCAGAATTAATAATACGTGTGAATTAATTAATATAATAATGCAAATAATAAAAATTAATTAATAATAATCAGTGTTTGCAGAATAGAATGACAGGTTTTTTCTGTATCTGTATTGCTTCTTAGTAATGAAGCACTTAATGAAGTACATAATGAAGTACTCAAGTATGTAACAAAGTATGAATAGAGTAGTAAATCTGTCGAAATTTTTCGCATATCAGTAGCTCTAATAGCGGCATTTCTTTATCTAAACATTGTAGAAATTAGCGATTAAGAATAATTTCCCAATGCTAACATTTTGACAACTATAAACGATTATGTAGCATCCGATTAATCAGCATTCCGTGAGTAATTTTCAATTGTTCTTCATTATTTAAGTCACTGATCTCTGCATCTTCAACATCGTGTGCTTATGCTAATTCTATTGCATACGTTTGGACGTAGTTATTACATCTCTGCGGACATGACGAATTTAAACGTAATGCCGAGCTATTATGCAGAATTGCGATGATATCCAAGAGAAGTATTATGGTTAATTAAGGTAACATCATAATAATAACTAGACTGCGGATGTTCATGCAAATGTATATTTTTTTTTTAGAAAATAGAATTGCCAATGGAACATGAACAGGAATTTATGTCACACACACAAGAGAGAGAGAGAGAGAGAGAGAGAGAGAGAGAGATCAGGTGCTTCCAAAAATATATTTTTTATTCTGCTATTTTCAATTCTATACGTTGAAAATAATATAACGGTACCTTAAGATTTTTCTAATGTATCTTAATATATTTTATATTTCACTTACTCATTTTTGCAATAAATGCATAAAAACCGGCAGTCTGATTACAATCATCGTTATAATCATCTTATCGGAATCGTTGAAAAAAGTGTGAATTTTTTATAAGACAATTATGATAGTAACAGTATAAATGAATCATCGAGAGTCATACATTGAACCTTCATTTAATAGTATTTACAAGGCAGCATCTCATAACTTTTTAATTGCACTAATTGGGCATATCCATGTATATTATACTTATGCATATCATTGTTCGCAAGCAATAAATTTTCCACGACCGTTGCAGTGTAGCAAAACCACGTTGTTTTACTATCACGAATAAGGAAGTTTCTGCACGGCCAAGAATAAAAGGGCATTCATTGCTAATTTGAGTGATTCTAATACTTTGTGACCCACTCTCTGCAGTAATGCATAGGCGCACAGGCTGCGCAGCTAGGCAGGACGCGTTGATTCATTCGACTCCGTCGCGGTCTGAACTTTATGGACTACCGACAACAGATTTTCTAGAACTACTTGCTATGCATTGAGCATCGTCTCAAACGATAGGGTGTCGTCTAACGTGGGTTCCAGCGTCGCTGCGCCGAGCGCACTGCGTGCTGCATTTGCTAGAATTGAATTAAGCTGACGTACAACCGGCAGAGGCGCAGTTCTAGAAGCACTTCCCGTTTCCTTTTCACTTTCAATTACCTTTTCGAACAGTCGACAACTTTTTCCGTTTAAACAGTCTTGTCGTTGCTTCAAGTAATAGAACATTTTTTAAAATGCATTTCAGTCGTTGTGCAGTCAATTAATCCCTCTAATGTCTCGAAAAAAATCAAGTCATTCGATACTGTTGATTTTTGTCGAGATATTAGAGGGATTAGTTGACTGTACAACGACTAAAATACATTTTATAAAATTTTCTATAACTTGGAGTGACTGAATGACTTTAAAAAATTTTTAAATATATTTTTAAAATTGTATTTTAGTCATTGTACAGTCAACTAATCCCTCTAATATCTCGAAAAAGATCAAGTCATTCGGTGCTGTTGATTTTTGTCGAGATATTAGAGGGATTAGTTGACTGTACAACGACTAAAATACATTTTTTTAAATTTTCTATAACTTGGAGTGACTGAATGACTTTAAAAAATTTTTAAATATATTTTTAAAATTGTATTTTAGTCATTGTACAGTCAACTAATCCCTCTAATATCTCGAAAAAGATCAAGTCATTCGGTGCTGTTGATTTTTGTCGAGATATTAGAGGGATTAGTTGACTGTACAACGACTAAAATACATTTTATTAAATTTTCTATAACTTGGAGTGACTGAATGACTTTAAAAAATTTTTAAATATATTTTTAAAATTGTATTTTAGTCATTGTACAGTCAACTAATCCCTCTAATATCTCGAAAAAGATCAAGTCATTCGGTGCTGTTGATTTTTGTCGAGATATTAGAGGGATTAGTTGACTGTACAACGACTAAAATACATTTTATTAAATTTTCTATAACTTGGAGTGACTGAATGACTTTAAAAAATTTTTAAATATATTTTTAAAATTGTATTTTAGTCATTGTACAGTCAACTAATCCCTCTAATATTTCAAAAAAGATCAGGTCATTCGGTACTGTCGATTTTTTTCGAGATACATTTTTAAAAATATATTTAAAAATTTTTAAAAGTCATTCAGTGCTGTTTTAAAAAATTTTATACCGCTTTAAACGTGTCCGGGAACTTTTGCACGCCACTGTGCCTCAGCTAACAGCTTGACATTGTCAAGAACGCTTGTTGCTTTTCTAAAACCATCTGCTGCACCGCGGAAAGAGTTTCCGCGCATCGTGACAGATCACGCAGAACCCGGTTAATTGAGTCGTCCCGATTTTCCTTGTTTCGCAGCCAGGCCCCGACCCTTCGCTTTTAACGCTATTGATGACCGTTCGTTTAATCTCGCTCCATTCTGCGAACCCGCATAAAGGGTGCTCGTCCATCATGCCGAGATTATGATAGGAGGCTGCTTCGCTAAAGACATTACGGGCACGATGGCTCGAGGATTCATCTTGACTGCCATGTATACGCCCGCGATTGTGCGCTCCGAGAGTCGCCTTGAAACGCAATCTGCGAATCTACCGGGGATTTTTCTCGATGAACGGTGAATCGAAGACGCTGCGCGCCTCCGGCCTTTAACGTCGCTTCTGAAGGAAGATAAAGTTGACTTCGCGGTGAAAACCTGCGCGGCTTTGATTTTTCACAAGCGATCCTCGAGATTACTTCTGGCCGATGAAGCAAGGATTAGAGCTTACCACGCGATCTTTTTTCTTTTTTTCTAGGACAGATTTCGTGCAATCAATAACGATTATCTGATTCGTGCGTTCTGTTCGTACTTTAGTTTCATACATTGTTAATTTGATCGGAAAGATTGTGCTTCCGTTGCTTTACGCGGATATCTTTTATGTATTGTTGTTATACGTTTCTATACAGGGTGTCCCAGGTTTCAATGTTTAAAGTTTGTTAGTGTATTCTATGGCACAAAGTAAGAAAAAAATGTCATGTAAACATAGGTCATATAGAGCTTTATTAAGAAGTTATAACAAAAATTCAGAATAGGAATAGCAATCAACTTGCTGTTACTGCGAGCATTGGCTTGAATAGATCAGCACATGTCGTGTGTTTATGTAAGCTGTGTTTATTAATACATTTCGAAATGTATTAATAACCGTTGTTGACAATACATGATTGACATCGATCGAAGATTTTTTTTTATTTTTTATTTTTTTTTTAGTTGATTACTATTCCTATTCTGAATTTTTGTTATAACTTCTTAATAAAGCTCCATATGACCTATGTTTACATAACATTTTTTTCTTACTTTGTGCCATAGAATATACTGACAAAGTTTGAACATTAAAACCTGGGACACCCTGTATGATGGATTCGTTCTATTTAATTTCTTTTTACGACTCCAATTTTTAGTTAACCTTCTCATCAGCTTCAACACATATATAAAATCTATCTGAACGAGAAAAAGTTTTCGTACACCTTTTGAAACGCTGTAACTTTTTTAAAACTGTACCAAATAGTTTGAATTTTGTTAGATGATAGAAAGATTAGTATCTACTAGACAATGACTGAAATTTTTATTAATTTTGCTATCACTTGGAATGACAATAAAAATAAAAACTCTTTCTTTTTAACTTTTTTTATCTGAGCCTATATCAAAAATTTAAAGAATGTGTTTCGCAGATATCGTTAAGTTATATGCGTGCTGAACATTTCATCAGGCCCAAACTTGGGTCTCATATTAGGTATCCATCTTACAAATTTGTGAATTTGCATACATTTAGTTTTCTCTTTATTACGAAGAAGCGGAATTTTATTTCTCTACTTTTCAGTAGATTGTTAAAGAATACATACTGTAGCTTCTAAACGCGTGCCTACTTCCAGCAGAAACATTTTCAATAAAAAATTACGATTTTTAAAAAAATGTGTCTTAAAAATCAGGCACCTTCATCCTATATATTATCACATCATTTTGGAATAAATCGTTTCTGACAAAATCTGATATTGTTCACTAACAAAAGACGTAGAACCGCCTGCATCCTTTTCAAAATGTCCAAGCAATCTCCCGAATATCTTTTGATCCTTTCAAGCCAACCCTGACAGACAAGATAGTGTTACAACCACCGCCGAGTCTCCTCCAACTATACACCCTTCGCTAACTCTCCTTTTCGGAGCTGCTTCGAATCCTCCATCGTGAGAACAAAAAATCGTTTGAAAATGTTTTTTCCCAGGTTTCTATTGTCTGGTTGCGCGGATTGGCAGGCGTATCTTCGAAATCTGAAAGAAAGCGTTCCACTTTGTCGCAGCGATGAAGGACAGCTTGATCGCGGTGTCCATCGCACACGGTAAATACAGGGTGTTAAAAAAAGAGCATTCAATATTTATACGGTATATGGGGCACACTGTACCGAGTAAAAAGACCTTAGTAAAAAGTTGGGTCGTAAGTTCAATCGTCTCTGAGATATAAACATTTCTGATCGATAGCATCTATCGCATGCGACGTTTTTTCGTCGGGAATCAGTCAGGGGATTTGATTAGTATCGCGCAGGTTACATCAATATTACACAGTTATTATCAATTATGATGCTAGCAAACGAAAGTGTTCATATCTGAGAATTTTCGTCGGGGATCTGATTAGTATCGCGCAGGTTACATCAATATTACACAGTTATTATCAATTATGATGCTAGCAAACGAAAGTGTTCATATCTGAGAATTTTCGTCGGGGATCTGATTAGTATCGCGCAGGTTACATCAATATTACACAGTTATTATCAATTATGATGCTAGCAAACGAAAGTGTTCATATCTGAGAATTTTCGTCGGGGATCTGATTAGTATCGCGCAGGTTACATCAATATTACACAGTTATTATCAATTATGATGCTAGCAAACGAAAGTGTTCATATCTGAGAATCGGTTGACCTTTTGACCTCTGTTTACTAAGGTTTTCTTAAAACGCCTCATTACACTTCAGAAGAATAGAATGTACGTTGTATTGAATATACGTATATTGTATTGAATGTACTGAGGTACAGTGTGTCCTATATACTGTATCGATGTCGAATGCTTTTTTTAACAGCCTGTATAACCTGAAAAGGTAGAGGAGAGAAAGCAATAATATTGTCTTCCATTCTTTGGAAGTGCAATGAGGCGTTTTTGGATCGGCGATGACTGCCGATGAGCGTCGAAAGTTACGTTCGGAATAGCTTACTGCCGCGTTAGAATTTCACGGATCGCTTCCCGGGAAGATCTAGTACGTTGAACATTATGGGACCCGCGCTGCCGGCATTTTGCAATCGCAAGTTGGTATTCTCCTCTCATTCATCTTGGGGAGGCTCAG